GGTATTGTGCATATCCTAGCCCTCTTCCTCTTGGGATTATAGAAACCTGAAACCAGATTAGTAAATAAATTAAATATTGTAGTTCATAATGCTGCACAATAAATGTAATACAAAAGCTCATTGTTCTTACAGTAGTTTTATGTTGAGTGGCAAGTTACCTTTAATAGAGGATCAGCATGTTCCAGGAACCAACCAGCRACAGCATGTCCAGCCTCATGGTATGCTACTGTCTTCTTTTCTTCAGGTTGTAAAACTTGAGTCTTTTTCTCTAGACCTAAACAAAGCAGCATTCAATCACCATAACAATAATAATTACCACCAGCTTGCTCAGTATCTTACCTCCTATTACTCTTTCTATTGCTTGCTCAAAGTGGTTCTCTTGTACATCAGGCGATAAATGTCTTGCAGCAATCAAAGCTGCTTCATTACACACATTGGCTATATCAGCACCTATGGATAGAATACTTTGTCACAAACACTGCTTTGTATTCTACTGTTTTCTAATATGAGGCTATATCAGCACCTATGGATTGAATACATTGTCACAAACACTGCTTTGCACTGTACTGTTATCTAATATGAGGCTATATCAAACACTGCTTTGTACTGTACTGTTATCTAATATGAGGCTATATCAAACACTGCTTTGTACTGTACTGTTATCTAGTATGAGATATGCTAACATACCTGTAAACCCTGGTGTTAAGGCAGCCATTCTGCGAGACAGCTTCTCTATATCTGCATTAGTTTTGATAGGCTTTAAATGAACTTTAAAGATGGAACATCTAGGAGGTCAACAATGGTTTATAGATGAGAATAGCACTGGTATTCATGCCACATAATTTCAATAAATAAACAAGAGACTTTCAAGAACAAGAGCAATATATTATAGATCAAAATGACAAAATTTAAAAGACTGATATGGATATTCTAAAGTATAATCTAAAACAAAAACATTCAATAATCTGATGTAAAGTATCACATACAATATCATATTATGCTTTTTTAAACATAACTGACCTTCCTTTGATATCTGGTGCAGATAAATGTATTTGTCTGTCAAATCGTCCAGGTCTAAGTAGAGCAGGGTCTAATACATCAGGTCTGTTAGTACCAGCTAAAACTACTACATTTGTTGTGGAACTAAACCCTAAAAAATAACCATAACAAAAGACATTTAGTTGAGGTTCAAATTGAAATGACTTCAAAACATTTTCATTTGAAAGAATAACATCACTTTTTTTTGTATCATTCAACAACTTAAATCTTGACTTTTTTGTATCATTCAACAACTTTAAATCTTGACTTTTTTGTATCATTCAACAACTTTAAATCTTGACTGTTTTGATGATAACTCAGCAGTCTAAGATCTGAGTTTGCTGCAAACAATGAGCTATAAATTAATAGAATTGTTGTGTTTGGATACAGACAACAAATAGATTGAAAAATTTGTTATTCAGATGTTGCATAATGATACAAGTGAACATATCAAATTAAAACTGACAATATTTTCTATCAATATTAGAATCATTCCTTGCCTACTGCAAGATTACTATCATGGTTCTTTGGTAGCCATACTATCATCAAAAAACATACCATCCATTTCCACAAGCAGTTGATTCAAAGTGTTCTCTCTTTCATCATGACCACCAAATTGTCCTGTCCTGCCTCTTGCACGCCCTACTGCATCAATCTCATCAATGAAAATAATACATGGTGCATGCTTCCTGGCTTGACCAAACAAATCCCTCACTCTAGCAGGACCAACACCCACAAACATTTCCAGGAACTCTGAACCTGACACAGTTAGGAAAGGGACCTGAGCCTCTCCAGCTGTTGCCTTGGCAAGCAATGTTTTACCAGTACCAGGTGGACCAGACAAGATAGCACCCTAGTGAAAACATTTTAAAAACATTGATTGTAGTTAATAGATATCACCCTAGTGAAAACATTTTAAAAACATTGATAGTAGTTAGATAGAATTATGTAGTTGTAGTACTGTTACATTATTTATACTAACCTATAGTACATGTATTATAAAAAGCATTACCTTGGGTATTTTGGCACCTAGTTCATGATACTGCTGAGGGTTTTTCAAGAAATTCACAAACTCCATGATTTCAAGCTTAGCCTCCTCACACCCTGCCACATCCCTAAAACATAATTTTTGGAGTTTAATAAAAAAGATGGTGATGATGGCAAGGGTTTTTATTTGAATGATTTTTGAAGCTACTAATTTCAGAGCACTCACAAATAATAGCAATAACTAATTTTAAATCACTGATAAAATGCTGATATTTGACATCTCTACGGAAATATTTCAGTTGTCAGTTCTACATAAGGCATAAAATAATTGATAATAACATAACTGTATTATCCAATTCATCAGTTCATTACATCATAATACTGGCAAACATCTCAGATACCAKACATTTGCTTGATATTGAATGTATCTGAGAGTTTGTACTACATATTATCTACTTCAGTGTATACTCTGGTTGTTCTTTTATGCAACAGGATCAAAATTGCAGCATAATTCAATTGCTTATTACAAAAGTTGCATTTTCAGCTTTGTCTTTAAGAAGGAGTACACCTTCTTTCTAAAAACAACACAATATGAATATTACTGTATTATTTTTATACCACTTACTTGAATCTTATTGCCACACTAGTCTCTTTATTGAATAGCTTAGCAGTAGAACTACCTACTCCAAATATTCCCTAAATGAGGAAAAAACTTAATATGCAGTTACAGAAATAAAGACAGTAATTGCAAATGCAACAATCCACTTGACCTTACTGAGCACACAAACAGAAAAATGAACAAGTGTGCCAAGTCATGTCAAAATCAATACTTTTTTACCAACAAAAATTATTTTCTTTGTGTTGGAAAAAGATAACAATTGGGTTGTTCCCCTTCCACCTCACTTTCCTCATGCAAATTGTTTTTTAACCATGAAAAGGGCTATTGGATTACTGTGTTTGCATTTCTTTCTATTTATCTTCACATTTTAGGGGTGTAGAATGGTGTCTCAGAAATCACRAGGCTCGCCAAAAATTTCCCAAAAAGAATGGGGCTTGGATTTAAAATCTCTTTTGGCTCGGAAGCTCATAATTGCCAAAAGATTGGACTCATTCAGCCAAAGGCTCAAGCTTGGATTTTAAAACAAGAGGCTCGCAGGCTTGGTGAGGCTCGGATTTTGCCATTCGATACCCCTCATTTTACACATTGAAATAATATGCCTGAAAATTCAGAAATAAACTTCAGCTATAAACTCTGATGATTTCTTTTAGTTTTCATCTGTTCAAGCATACCCCTTGTCCTTTTGAACCAGCTGATAATCTTCTACTGAAGTAGACTAGTGCTCCTATTATGAGTAATGTCGGTGTCAACTTTATCAGCTCTTTGCTGCGATTGACACAAAAAAAATACATGAATTAATGATAATTGACTGCCTGTATATGTACTGCCCCCAAATACATGTGTTAAGTACTATATGTTAACCTCAAATAAACAAACAAGATACTAAACATATTTATAATAGAAGCAAACCCAGAATAGACACCACATKTGTGATATGGTTGTGATTTAATCATAAAGAACAAGCCTGTCATAACAATTATAATTKGACTCCATTTGCAAACAATACAGTCAAATTGATATTCACAGTGATGCAAGCATTTTCACAGTTGTATCACTTACAGAAGGCTTACTATTATGGTACACAAGGATAGGATTTTGTTATTTCAACAAAACAATCTTGTTGAATAAAGGAATAATTCAAGAATAAATGCAGCAACTCTTGCGCACAAATACACAGTGCAGCAGAATGATGAGGAATGAAATAGATTGCAAGGTGTTTAATGGAGTAGATACGTAAGCAAGAAACACCTTGGAAACTTTAGAAACTAGACCCTGACAGCAGGGTGTACTCGTGCCCTAAAGGTGTTGAAAAGTGCTGTCTTATTCAGTACTTTTTCAAAAGGAGCTCATTTAAAACTTTTCTTGTGTTTGACCAACCATGTAATATACTGTCTTTCTCAATTTCAAAAATAGTTCGACCGAGTTGACGCTCTAAGGAGGGTCTGGTTTAGATGTAAAGAATAGTGCTACCAAAGGCATGCAGTTCATCTATACTGATAAATCACAAAGTGATTTGAAATCAAACTATATTAAGAGAAAACATTTGTGAAAGTAACTCCTTGTTGATTTACTTTTCATGTAATATTTAGCAGCTTTTGAAGGAACTAGATATACAATAATTTTTGACAAATCTTTAAAAGCGTAGAATCAAATCGTTCACTCTGATAGTCTTCCGCGTGAAACATAGTAAGAATATTGTAGTAATTTAAAGGTCAAGTATACTACAGTATCAAAATCAGACAGCTCGGCGCCGTGTGGCGAGCGATCTTCGCAAACAGGAAGGGCCCGCTCTATAACCATACATGATCGCTTCAATGATCTTCATCTAGGAATAATCATCTGTGAATAGCATTGTTTTCTTTAACCAGAAGGACAGAATCCCTCGTCAAATTAGAAAATATAGGCTATGCAACTCAGAATCAGACAGCCACGTAGTCAGCTACGAAGTATCGGTTTATATCTCGCCAAGGAAAATTAACTATTTGGYTCGATACACCAACCTTTATGACCTAAACCAATGTCCTAATACATGCTCTTACACAGATGAATGTTTTGGAAGTAACAAAAGGCCTTGAATGTCAAAGAATTACTAAAAAACTACAGTAAATCCCGGGCAGTTATTGCTGTTCTATGATACGATTGTTTAGAGTACTGGTTCGTATGTAGAAGAGCTGTCGATCGTATAACTTGAGATCTCTTCGCCTTTAACAGAAAACTTTCCGCTATCCCAAATACTCAGATGAGTAATAAGCGGCAGAGTCTGACCTCAACAGTCGATAATTCCGAGTTTTGAAGAATAATTGTTCAATTCAAAGTGCGTGCTGTATGAGACATCCACGGCCTTCATTTATCTATGAAGTATTGATTTATATCTCGTTAGTTTAAAAGATACAGTAAATCCCGAGCAGTTTTGCTGTTCTATGATACGCTTGTTTACACCCGAGTTCGCAATGTGATATGCATTCGGGACGCAAAGGTCAGCCCGAAGACAAAGGTCTCACATAGAAAAAAAAAATAACAAAACTAAACTCGCTGCATTTTCTGACTCGTGACCCGGCCAAGGGCCTGGTCACGAGTAAAAAGAAAAAAATTACCCAGTAAAGCCATTCAACTGAAATAATGATAACACTGCTCACTTAACATAGTGTTCCTTCTATCATTTCTCTATTCATTCACTCATGATTTGGTGCTTCAATCTTCCATAATCATCCCTTTTTCATAATCCATGTGAAAACMTGCCCAAATATTTGTCCTTAATACTCACAGCCATTCAGATTCTTTAACATAGGTGACTGGTACCCAGTATGCAGGGTCAATGTTCATTTCTTGTTGTACATTTTCTAGATTTCTTTCAAAGTTTTCAACGCTACCAATAGTAAACGTCAGYTGACCCTGAAATATTGTTAATAAAATAATGTAATTTAATAAAACTGCATGATAATTCCTAATTCTTATTTCCCTATACATACTGTACATGTAATAACAATCTTTATCAAATGCATAATTATTTACATCCAGTACAGTGCTTAGTTTGACCTCATGTCTTGTTAAATTGTATTTTTTCAAAAGTTGATTTGTCTGGTCTAAAATCTAATTTTGGATAGGCTTTTGTACTTTGACTGTGGACATTATTTCCAGCCCTGTACAATGATGATGTCATTATTTTCATAGTTAACATCTGAAGTTTCTGTATGGTAAAATAAAACTGATGATGTAACTTTTAACTAAATTGACTTACATCTATTATGCTGTTCTTTGTGTAAACCTTAACCTGACTTTTGTTAGACACAATGAGCTTTTCAACCTAAAATATAAGAACRTCATTATTGACCTATGAAAGGAATAACAGTGTTTGTACTTTTCTTATCTCTGGTAAGTATTTCAGGTGAGAACAGTATAACCTCTCTCTAATGACATAGCAACTATAGGCAGTTAATTAATCACATTGTGAATTGTGTAATGTTACCATGGTGACATTATTTATGAAAACAAAACAAACCTCATGACAAACTACATGACATATACACTACATGCAAACCTGATTAAACAATGGCTATTATCAGGTCTGTTATAWCAAAGGAGATTATCTGATTTTAATATTTAATTAGAAAAGTCAAATTAACTTCAATGACCAAACCCAAGAAAAATAACAATCTGTAAATAATAACTGAGACAATACTCACATCTCCCTTTTCAAGGTAATTTGTACGGAATTCTTGCCAGTTTATCTCCCTTGTTGGTGTGCCGCTAGACATAAGAAGATAGCCAGTACCTAATGATAACCCTACTGCAAGCCATATTTGTTGTTGATAGGCCTCATAAAAACTATCCCACCATGGTTTGGGCTTCTTGCCACCTGATGTACCACCCCCAGGGGGTTTGTTGGACTGAGAACTTGATTTTCCTTCTGAGAATRATGATGGCAGAATAATTACAAAATGTAGAATTATTAGACATGGCAATGACTGAAATACTGGACAATGCCAAATTTTCACAAACTATAGCTTATTGCAATTTATCAAATCTGGGCATGATAAATKTATTATATAAACAGAAATACAGTATAATACACTCCATTATTCAATTTCTACTTTCACAYATTTTTCTTTATATTTCATATTAATACCATTCATTCTTACCACATATTTTTACCACATATTTCACTATTTTTCATACAATATACAATGTAGATTCCACATGATATAAAYTTGAATAGATACTTCAATATTTAATATATTAAATGTGTGCTCTTTCTTGTTTGGTAAAATATTATCTTGATACTCAGCAGTAAACATCACCTGATTTTGCATTCTTGGGTCCYTGCTTTGAAGCTCCTGGGAAAAACCTTTCAAAACCTGAGAAAATATACCAATAAACTGTTACTGTGGTTTATGCTGAAAACAAAATCAAAAAAAAATCCTAAAAGCAAACACAATAGGGAATATCTCTTATACACTCAGTTCCATGTAAAATATATTTAGACGTTTAAATAAAACTTGTGAGATTTCATTGATTGATTATTTTTCATTCACAGATCACTTACTGCAATTGCACAGCCTGTTATAAGATAACAGAATATACCATATATTACATGATATAAAAACTAATACATGTAGTGTAAAAGAGATTGTTAAAAGGGTTAATTGAAGCAATTAAAAAGTAATCAATAAAAATATTTCATCCAGATGCCCACTTAAACAGAYATTTTAAATTATATGCATCACTGCTCTGTTTACAAAGGAACTTATTTAGAAATGTTCGAACATTCCAGATATGTCACACAAGAAATGTATAGTGGTTACATTGTTCACATCCCTAAATCAGTACTGACAGTAAGCAAATCAAACATCCATGTTCAGTGTGATACAGTACATGAATATCAGTGTTATGTATTAGCAAAACAAACAATCTTATCAATATGAGAAGACAAGAAATTAGGCATAGAACAATAAARATAGCATTAAATAGCAAGACATATTATTCCAGTTTATATAATATGTACAATCCATAGAATACRCTATACTAATACTTATTCTTCAAAAACTCATACATACAGTAGCCTCGCCAATAGAATTAGTCTATTTGGTCACATGCAT